AACCTTTTTAGTTTCTCAGGATGAGTCTCAGTGAGATTGGCTTGATTTTTAAGACCCTGTGATTTTAGATGGAAAATTTTCTACAAAGAAGGATCAAATGGCCAACATACTAATAATGGTGATTCTAGGGGCTGTCCTCAAAAATGCTCAGCCCTTTCAGCAGACATTCACTTTTTAACCATAACTGATACCTCTGAGCAAATGCATTTTATTCACTGAAATTTGGCATTTGATAAAATGTACAGATCTTCCTGAATGTGCCAATGGCTGTGGCTTAGGTAGCTCTGTCTCCAACTCTTAAGTCCATCAGTTTATGAAAAGAGATGTGAAGGGGACAAGTCTGATTCTTTTTTTAAAAATTGGGGTTCGATTTGCCAATATGTAGCATAACACCAAGAGCTCATCCAGTCAAGTGCCCCCCATCAGTGTCCATCACTCAGTCACTCCCACCCCCCCGCCCACCTCCCCTTCCACTACCTCCCCTTCCACTACCCCTTGTTCATTTCCCAAAGTTAGGAGTCTCATGGTCTGTCTCCCTCACTGATATTTCCCACTCATTTTCTCTCCTTTCCCCTTTATTACCTTTCACTATTTTTTTATATTCTCCAAATGAATGAGATCATATAATGTTTGTCCTTCTCCGATTGACTTACTTCACTCAGCATAATACCCTCCAGTTCCATCCACGTTGAAGCAAATGGTGGGTATTTGTCGTTTCTAATGGCTGAGGAATATTCCATTGTATACATAAACCACATCTTCTTTATCCATCATCTTTTGATGGACGCCGAGGCTCCTTCCACAGTTTGGCTATTGTGGACATTGCTGCTATCAACATTGGGGTGCAGGTGTCTCTGCATCTGTATCTTTGAGGTAAATCCCCAGCAGTGCAATTGCTGGGTCGTAGGGCAGATCTATTTTTCACTCTTTGAGGAACCTCCACACAGTTTTCCAGGGTGGCTGCCCCAGTTCACATTCCCACCAAAAACCTTTCTAATACAAAGAGTGGCTGGATCCATGAATAAACTAGAACAAGAATTGACACACTTATTTTATTTGTTTCTTTTCTGTTTCAAAACAGGAGTTTCCATCTGCAGATATGCTCTCACACTGTTTAGCTATTGATATCAACTCCACCACAGATTACATAATCCTCCTTTGATTGGAGATTATTCATTCATTCTTTCATTAAGCACAATGCACCATCTTCCATGTTGCTTTTTCATACCTTAATTTAAATGGGTAAGGAAATAGACAGCTATTTATTTTGGCTGAGCTTCATATTCATAGATGAGTGAGAGGACATTTTAACTATTCTCTACCATCAAAAATCATTTTACACATTATATCATTTTTTTTTTTAGATTTTATTTATTTTTCTGAGAGAAAGAGAGCCCAGAAGCAGGGAGAGAGGCAGAGGGAGAGGGAGAAGCAGTCTCCCCACAGAGCAGGGAGCCCAACTCAGCTAATCCTAGGACCTCGGGATCATGACCTGAGCCAAAGGCAGATTCTTTTTTTTTTTTATTTTTTATTTTTATTTATGATAGTCACACACAGAGAGAGAGGCAGAGACACAGGCAGAGGGAGAAGCAGGCTCCATGTACCAGGAGCCCGACGTGGGATTTGATCCTGGGTCTCCAGGATCGCGCCCTGGGCCAAAGGCAGGCGCTAAACCGCTGCGCCACCCAGGGATCCCCAAAGGCAGATTCTTAACCAACTGAGCCACCCAGGCACCCCTATACATTATATATTTTAAGAAAGGTAGAGATTGTATAGATAAATACCCATCTGTCTTCTATGGGTAGAAGACTTCCTACTGGTTCAGAAAAAAAACTGATGCAAGCTCAGTGTTATTAAAAGTATAATTTTCAAAAAACTGAAATGTATGAATCTCATAGAAATACATGGTGGGCAAGTGTCAAAGATTTAACTTTTTAATGAGGGGTCTAGTAGAACAGCAAAGCTGGTCCAAAGGTAGATAAGAAAGACTGCTATATATAGTTAGTGAACTAAAGAAAGAATGTTGAAATAAAAATGGGTTGAGTATAAAAGTAGTTGATATCCTACAGGGCAATAAAACCCTAACCTTTTGTGTTCTCTTTCTACCAGACAAAATCATTTGTATTACTTTCTGAACGAAATTTGCAATTTACCTTTTTTTAAAAAAATAATTTAACATCTGATTTCAGAGTTTGGGCCGAATCAACAGTAAATGGTGTGTTAAAATATGCATCATTCCAGAGAATTGGGTAATCTTTGGGAGGATCTACTAGACAATGCTCCAGTATATCACTGAAAAGACAATGCATTCATTAGTTTGCCTTACTTTCAAGTTGAGGTAATTTTTCATACCATTTTTTTTTGTATATCTTTTTATTGGAGTTCGACTTGCCAACATATAACACCCAGTGCTCATCCCATCAAGTGCCCCCTCAGTGCCCGTCACCTTTTCATACCATTTTTTACCCTGTACAAGAAATAGTACTTTGTCTAATACTATGTGTCAACACCTTGTATGCAATATTTTATTTAGTTCCCATGAATATCAATAAGCATAGGCTTTATCTGAAACTTTGATTATTTCCTTGGAAAATATTTTTACAAAAAAAAAAAACTTGGATAGAGCAGTTTGGCTATTTTGAAGATTACTGATATTTAGAGCCAAATTAATTTCTACAAGGGATAAGGCTATCTACACTACTCATGTAGAGGAGTCTACTCAGACAATCATACTGATAGAGTTGGGTATCATCATTTTAAAAATCATGCAATTTGGTAGATGCAAAATAAAACCTCATTTCAATTCACCTATATAACATCTGGTTAGTTAGAAAGTTCCTATTTTAAAACCTGGTTTTATTAATTTCTTTTAAAATTGTTATTTGCTTATTTTTCTTTTTAGATACTAGTGCCCATGTTTTCTATTCCTTTCAGCTTTTAATATCTAAGAGACATAAAGTTTGTGTTTTATTCTTACACATCAAAGCGTTTGTCTTGAATAATATCAATAGAATATTTTATGTGAGGAATAATAACATCCTAAATGAGATTCATCTGTGCTAACTTGAAACTCAAGGTAAGATTATGCTAATAAAGATGTAATGCTGTTTCCTCTTGTTCCATTAAAGCTCTTAATGAAAAATGTTTTATATGAAAACTATATATACACTTAATAGGGTGGAGAACCGAAACTACAGGGAACAGGGATATTTGTAAATGCAAAATTCTTTGTAAATTGACTGCAATCATTATATTAATAAGTAAAGAGTATGGCTTTAGGGATTATATTTTCAGCAATTTAGAGTAACTGGAAAATCTCTCATAATAGTCTAAGTCATTGTTTTTGTGACATGCTGGTAATATAAAATGAAAACTGAAACCAAAGTATACCCGAGATTATTTATGTTGTATATAATGTGTATGTTATATATACACACACGTAACAAGAATATATCATCACTGCTTTTGGTATTTTAAAGGTTTTCTCTGGTAACACTACTATAGATCCATTTAAAAGATGGGTATATTTTCTTAAATTGAAAAAAAGGTCATTGAATTAAGGCATTGTCTAGTGTAGTTTTCTAATTTCTAACACCTTGGGATTTGAATATATTTATGAACTCATAAACAATACATCACAAATTTAAAATAAAATAAGGTCATGTTAAATCCATCTATGTCTGTATACTTGTAGAAATGCACACATATAGAACATGGAGAACTAGGGAGCCATCATGGTGGTAAATATTGGGAAAAATGATTTTTTCGAGCTCCGCAGGACCTTGCCTCAATCAATGCACACGGAAATCAATGCACCGACACCTTGAGGACCACTTTCTTGTTCGCTGTTGCTGGGGGTGAGAGAAAGTCTCCTGACCTCGGTCGAGGTGCAGGGGTCCGCCAGCCTGAGCGTGGGTCCGCGGAACCCACAGGCCGCAGGTTTCCTCCGCGGGGCCCGGGGGCTGGGGGGGAGGGTGGGGGGCGGCGAGGAGGCCGGGGCAAATCCTAGACAAAACACGTGCTCCTCGGAAAATTCTGCGCCCCCCACCCCGGACCCGGGCCCCTGCTCCCCCCCGCCCTCCCCCCTCGTCCCGGCCCCGCTCCCCGGCCCCGCTCCCCCACCCCCTTCCCCCCAGCCCCCCTCCAGTCCCCCCCGCTACCCCCCCCGCAGGGGTGCGCGGGTCGTGGGTCGGAGCCCGCGTGGGGCCGGGGGCGCCCGCTGTCGTCCCCCGACCTTCCCCGCCCGCGCGCTTCGCCTTCGCCGGGGCCCCGGGCGCGTCCTCCCCACTGGACGGGGGGGGGGGGGGGGGGCAAACGGGAGCGAACGGTCGGCGCGTCCTCCGGCCGACGGGGCGGGCGCCTCGGGGGTCGGGCCCCAGGCCCGGCCGCGACCTCCCGCCCCCCGCCGCCCCCTCCACTCCCGGACACCAACTTGGGGAGGGCGGGGGGGGGGGCCGCGGGGCGACCCCGGGGCTCCGCGTTCCACGTGACCTGGAGGCCCGGCTCCGGCTTCCCCCCGGGCCTCGGCCCCGCCCCCCGCCCCCCGCATCTCCCCGCCCGTCTCTCCTCGGCCGCGACCCGCTCGTTCCGCCCGAGCCGCTGGCTGGGAGGCGGGGGTGGCTCCGTCCCACCCGGTCCGCGGTTCAGTTCCCGGGACGGACGGGGGCGCTCGGCGGGGGTCGGGGCGTCCGCTGGTGGCCCCGGAACCCGGCAGGGTCCCCGCCCTTCCCGCTCCCGACGCCGCCCGGAGGCCGGGGCTGGGCGGCAGCCCGAGGCGCCGGGGCCACCGCGATCCGGACCCCGCCCCCGCCACCGCCCCCTGCCCCCGCCCCCTGCCCCCGCCCCCGCCGCGCCGGGCCGGCCCGCGAGCCTCCTGCCGCTGCGGCTGCTGCTGCGCTGGGCGCCCGCCCGTCCGGGAGCCCCGGCCCCGCCGCCCGCGCAGCCCCCGCAGCCCCCGCCGCCCGCGCCGCCCGCGCAGCCCCTGCAGCCCCCGCAGCCCCGGGCGCGACCTCGGCCCCGCGGCGCCGGCCCCATGGCTCCCTTCGGGCGGAGCCTGCTGCGGACCCGGCACCGGAGCAGGTGAGGCGCGGCGGGCGGCGGGCGGCGGGCGCCGGGCAGGGGGGGCCGCGGGGGCTCGGAGTGCGGGCACGGGCGCCCCTCGGGGAGGCCGGGGGCTCGTCCCTCCAGGTCGGGGGCCGCGCCGGGACCCGGGACCCGGGGGGGGGGCGGGGGCGCTGGCCCGGGGCGGCAGGGGCGGGGTCGGCGCCGGGGGAAGCGCCGGGGAGAAGCGCGGTGGCGGCCGCGGGCCCGGGGCCGGGCAGGCCGGGAACGTGCCCCGAGGAGGTCGGGGCGCGGGCGCGCGAGGCTCCCGGCAGCTGCCCCCCCCCCCCCCAGGCCGTTTTCCTGCGATTTAACTTTGATTCCTTTTGCTGCTTCAGGCCTGCAGTGCGCGTGGTGGAAATGTGCTAAACACGGGTTTTTCGCTCTTTCTCCCTCTCTCTGGTGCTGAGTCTCCCTCACACAACACACAGAGTTTTCTTGAGCCGGTAGGTGCGTCTCAGTCCCATTAAATATTTTAGTGACACCCCAGTGTTACTTTTTTTTTTTTTTTTTGGTGCTAAAACCATGTGAGGATCATTTTAGACATGGGTTTTGGTCTTTTAATATATTTATTTGGGGAATAAGGGCTTTTCCATAACTCTCCTCTCCATCATGCTTGTTAGTACTTGTCAAAATTTACTCAGGGTAGATTTCAGAGCATCCAATTACACGGTAGGAAGTGGCACAATTATTTCAGAGTGTCTGCAAGATAATTTGTGGTGATACAACTTTAAAGTCCGTCTTTACATTTGGTGCGCAGACGGCTGCTTGAAAAATTCTGTTTTTAACTCATTCCAGATGCATTCATGATTCAGTTGATTGTTTGCTTAAGAAGCCAGAACAATAATCAGTACCATGAAACTCCCTAAACCAGTTCTATTTGCTAATGATTTGGTAACGGATCACAAATATGGCATTTCTTGTACCTAGTGAAACTACGCTAAAATAAAGGATTCTGGCTGGATATTCTTTCAAAACATGTTAATGATGGTGGTTGAAAATAAGTGTGTATTTTAGTTGGGTCAGGGCATTAAAACTATCCCAAAAGTCTTTCCTTGCCAACAGAAGACACTTACTACCTCTTTTTTTTTTTTAAAAGAAATTTTTTTTGAGACTTACTACTTCCTTTTTTTTTTTTTATGATAGTCACAGAGAGAGGCAGAGACACAGGCAGAGGGAGAAGCAGGCTCCATGCACCGGGAGCCCGATGTGGGATTTGATCCCGGGTCTCCAGGATCGTGCCCTGGGCCAAAGGCTGGCGCCAAACCGCTGCACCACTCAGGGATCCCAAGACTTACTACTTCCTAAATGATTGTTCAGTAGCATTATTTTTGAAGTATGTTGGTTTAAATGCCATCAAAAAAATATTAAAATTACTGGGGCAAAGTTCGTGGTCTTATAAAACAGATGATGATGTTTCTGGCATGCTGATCCTTCTAAACGTACTCTTACAGTTCAGGGCTGCTTCATGTATGTGTGTTTTTGGTTTTGATTATTATTAATTCTAGAATTCTGTAACTGGTATGCCAAGAACTTTGTGGTGCGCCCCTGTGAGTTTCCCTCAGGGAGGTGCATGTCCACTTCGGTGGACACACAACTGGCTTTCATCCAGGGAGGTGAGTATACAGTTTTTAATATGAGAGCTTCTATGCAAAATTATAAAATAATGGAGAGAACAATAAAAAATGAGGAGTTCAACAGTATTTCAAGTTTCTCTGAGAAAATGGAATGGTGCTCCCGGCGGTGATGCTTTATTAAGAACGTGTTTTGATAAAAGCGGTAATAGTGAGGATATGTAGAAGTTGCTCTGATCCTTTGAGTGCTTCCCTTTACAAATTTGTATTTTTCCACCCTTAAGAAAAATGTAAGCCACAGCAGCGGTCAGAGAGATAAAAATATGGGTATCTCAAACTAAGTGGTACAGAAGCCGCATGGTGTATTGAGATAGAATTAATGTGTATTTCTTTTTTTCAGTGTCCAGTATTTGCTATACAGGAGGTATTTTTATTTTGTTCTATTTTTGCACCTTCTCAAAGGTGAAACTGTAGATAAAACTTAGTGACATGATTACATCTATCTATTTTGTTTGCTGGGTTCCATAATTATTTGAATAATCTTACTTGGACATATAGAAACTATCTTTCCTTAAATGACAGGTGATTCATCCTTTGATTGTAAATGCAATTGATGATAAGACATTTATCTGATAACAGCTAAGGCATTCCTCAAATATATAGTTTAAAACTCCTTGTAGAATGTAAAGGAAGAATTTGAGAAACGCATTTGTCTATCTTGCGATGTATAATTTACACAAGTAAAGGAGCTACTTGAACATCATTGCATCTTTGTCAGCAAGGGAAAAAAAATACAGATTACTAAAAGGAATAGTAGGAATTTGAGATCATAACATTTTGACAAAGTTTATTTATTGAACTTCTCTGCATCTATTCTCTTTCCGTCTTTTCAAAGTCTGAGGCATGAAATCTACTAGAAAATACGGCTTTAGAGAGAGCAGTGCCCTCTCTAGTCACCATTGTGTTTCTATGCCTAGGACGGTGCCTGGCATATTATGGACCTGTGATGCAGTTATTTATATGATGTTGTAAATTAAATTATAAAAACATAGTTGCTATTTTATTCTCTACTCAACAGCTGGTATTGTATACAAATGAATACTTCTTAAAGGATTGGTTGACATTTGATATAATCCAAAACCCAAGGAAATAGATAAACAATTTTATGGATTTGGATGCCGAGTTAATCCTATTCCACTAGATAATCTTTTTCTAAAATTTAAGAAGCATATAAATAAAAAACTGGGAAACAGTCTTTAGGAAATTTGAGAATAATGCATAGCCGTGAATGATTGTATTTTGGCACACAAAACTGGTATGCTTTTCATTTCTGACTTTCATGTAAATAAAAGAAATGGGGCCAATCTAGGATCCTTTATGTTTATAATCAGAATTAATCTTTTAAAATTTTCTAATTGTAATAACAGTGCCACAAAGGCTTCATCAGAAGGAAGAATTAAGTTTTGCGGTTAGGGTAAAAGTGGGCAAGATGGATGTTTTCTCTGAAATTAGAAATATGGTGTTTTGTGAATTCTGCAGAATGGAGAATTGTGTACTATTTTGTCTAACCTCAAATAATACTTAAAATGTCCCTGAAATTGGATTGAGAAATGTCTGATATTTGAGTACGTACATCTTTTTAGTTCCCAGGAGTTTCTGAAAGAGATTTTCCCTAATGATACTTGGTAACGTAAGTAGTTATTAGTTGGCAGCAGATAGCCCATTAGGAACAATGACTGGAATGCTCTATCTCTGGCAAAACTACACCGAGGGCAGTGAAGGCCGTGAAATTGAGCTCTAGGTTAAATCTTGAATTGTTACCCCAACTGTAAGCCAACTTAAAAATCCACTACATAAGATGTTGTATTATGTACTGTATTAATTCATGAAACATGTCATGGCGATAAAGGTTCTTAAGTGGACTTTTTGAAAAAAGAATGTTTAAAAGTTTGTAGCTGGCTAACAGTTTCATTTATAGAACAACTTTATTACCCGGACTGCATAACTTAGAAAGTTTGGATGTTATTTGATTGGCATGTAGTTCCAGGAGATCTGATGATAGCTCTAAAAATTCCCCAAAAATGGGGCTGTCTTCTTTTAATTTTAGTTCTGAAAATAGAATCAAGTTGGGTAATGGCATGTATTTACCTCCTCCAGAAGTATGTAGGTTCCAGTCCTTGATTGTTAATCTTTGTCTCTAGCAAATTGGCTTTCTAAAATGAGGAAATATGTTATCTGTACTATGTGTATGTGGAAAAGAAAAGTTCAGAATGCTTCTGTGCTCTCATGTTCTTTAATGTATACTTGCCTCGGAATTTTTAAAGACATCTTTTTGGCAAAACACGTACAACACGTACTAGCTTTTTAAAAAGCTAGACTGTGATTCCATTTCTGTGTAACCTGTTGTAATTCTGCTCCTTCTAGAGAAAGTTTGCGTATTTGTTGATTATCATTTAAGAAAAATTACTAAGGTGAATGGTCACCCAAGGGCAAAGTAATTACTTCATGTAAATGGAATAGAATCGTGGGTATGTGTTGAGCACTGGAGGCGAAATGCAAGGTATTTCAGGAATAAGAATGACCAGTGAGTATTAAATATGCTAAAAACAAGGGAAGTTATCCTCAAAGGTTTCTATCTGCAGGTTAGAGTGGCCTCTGCTTTGATAAAGTGACATAAGATATCTATAAAACATTCTCATGAGTATACTCAGTGAGAGCAGGGACCTTGCCCGTCTTGTTCCTTTTTAGATAAGCAGTGAATAGCTTCTCAAATATTTGTTGATTGAATAAATGAATTCAACATATACTCTTCAAATATAGCTGGTCCCCATACAGTACGTGGGTCAGGGTACATCGGTACATTTATGTTGACTGGATGCATAGGTAACTGGAATGAATCCATAAGTTCAAAGTGGACCTCCCATTATTCCTGCTCGTAGGCGCAGCTCCTCCTTCCTATCGAGGCCCATATCTGATAAATAGACTTTACTGGGCTTCTGATAGAAAACAAACCAAAAAAGCAGGATAGCTCATCTTCTCAAGAAATGCTCTTCCTTCCTTTCCTGTTCCAAGCATGTATATCAGTGAGGTTTGGCAGGTGGTGGTGAATGGCTACTATAGATGCCACCACTAAGTGTGGAACATCTTCTTTTGAGATAAGAGGGAAATATGATTAGCAAATATTTGTTTTCTTACATGATATGAGGATCTGTTCTCTTTGTATAAGATAATTATACTTCATGAGACAAAGGGATATTCTAGAAATAGGCGGAAAAATATCTTGGCTAAGAATTCCAGCAGACATTAGGTTGTATCTCAGATATACCATTACTAATCATGTGCCCTTGGGCAAATATTTAATCTTTTTAATACAACCACAACAATAATAATGGCATACAAGGGAAAATTCAAGTTTGGCAATTAGAGGAGGGTTGCTTTTTAATACACAATTATGAATAAAAGTATTACTAAGGTGATCCTGGAGAAGACAGCTGTACAAATGAGGCAGTCCTTCTGCTTAAGCTTCATTAGCTTCAGGGTAAGTCCACCTCTGCTAATACTTCTTACAGCACTATGTGCTCTGAGTGATTTACACAATACATAAAATAATGTTGTGAAGAAGGTACTATTATTGTTTTGCCTGTTTTACATTTGAAGCCATTAAGACCGAGCAGTGCAATAATTAGTAAGTGGCAGAGGTAGGATTCAAATCCGTGCCTTTAACCATTATTGCATATGGCCTATTTAGGACTTAGTTTTCTCATCTTTAAAACAGAGTTAATCCTAAACCATCAAGTATGAGATTAAAGCTAGTTATATTTAAAGGACAGCACAATATTAGAATAGTAATACAAGCTCAATAAATATTCACT